TTCTAGATGACAAGTACGCGCCTCAACAAAAGCCCTGAAAGTTCAACGCTGACGTCAAGGGCACCTCGCGCCACACTCCATCTGAGAAATCGGGAGACGTCACCTCTGAACGAAGTCGGGAGAATTTGAATGCTAGACAGAAAGTAGGGTAGCATTAGCATTTCTAGTATTCAAAGACGCTGCTTTCCAACCTCGATTCAACTCTCAGCCCGCGTGCTACAGAAGCTAATACTGCAGAACGCAGTGAGCGTGAACACGACATCTTAGGCTTGAGACGTTTCTTGAGACGTTGCCTCCTCTTTTACTACCTTCTGTTGTGTTCTCTTTTCTGCCCCAGTCTGAGGTCTACAATCATGTTCATCTTAGGCTTATTTAGCACATGATTCCTACAGAGTATACTCTGTAGGAACTATGTGGGACTCTATAGTGTCCCACATCAAATTGTGCCCTCTAGAACCACAATATCACTGTTTATGTTGGTGTTCATTTTTAAGGTTAACAGTTTTGTTTAAAAAAAAGCCGTGATAGCTACGCTAATATGGTTCGTGCAGGTGTGTTATACCGCCAGGAGGACACAATATAGGAAGCTAATCGTCACGATAGGTTAAATTATTCATTAAATGTGTTAAATAACTTCTGAATTTGTTGAAATAAATGTATGGTTTGAATTGGAAACTTTCTGAGCATAATTGAAAACCACTAAATCGGTCAACATTAGAAGGACTTTGAACATGTAGGAGGCCCACTAAGTTGTCACTGGTGCAGCGGGCATAAAGCTGAGGAGCTATGACAAGAGACAGAATAACCGCGCGGAAGGGTTAGCCCACCGGTAGGTTCGCTCCTGCTGCACGAGCGGTGACTTTGGCGCACCACCGTAATGCCCACCTGATCTAAGTCTTTATAATATTGACTGATTTAGTGATTTTCGATGCTGCTCAGCGAATTTCTGATCAGAACCATACATGTTTTGGAGCCCAGCTCCTAGGCACCCGTTTCCGGGTTTCGCGGCGTCGTCGTCGTCGGCATAACCGCTCTAAATTTAGCGGAAAAATCCACGTCACGTGACCTCAACACCAATTCAATTCCCCCTTAATTTTAACGGGGAAAATGACGTCACATGACTTGGTGTCACGTCACCGATGAACAAATTCAGTTTCTCTGCTAGATTTAGCAGGAAAATTGATGTCACGTGCGGAGGAGTAGGGTAAGGTACGGGGGAGGAGGAAGTGGGGAGAGAAGAAGGATAGAAGGAGGGGAGGAGAACGATGGGAGGAGGAGGAGGAAACGAGGGGACGACGAGGAGCAAAGGAGGAGGGGAGGAGTAGAGAGTTCGCGTATGGAGGAGGAGGAGAAGGGGCATGCCCTCCCCTCCGTACCCTCCCCTCTGCCTCCTCAAGAACCGCGCTCTTATTTCGGGGTACGGAGATTTGTAAACGTCTTTAATTTTTATATTCAATAATACTATAAAAAAGCTAATAGCGTATTTACCTAATTAGCGGACTGATCGTTACTAATAGCCCACTATATTATGTGCACCTGTCCGTATAACTCACCTGCACAAACCGCATTATTCTAACTTTCGCGCTTTTTTTTCTTTGTTTGTTTATCTTAAAATAAGCACCCTGTATATCGTACAAAATACACGATGATCGCAGGAGACGCGATCACAGTACCAGCTACGGACACGCCCGAAGCATGTTTCGAAGCGTACTTGCTTCATGCAATGCGAAATGTCTAGAGACATGTTTTTTTCTGACTAATGTGACAGGACTGTCATACAGGGAAGAAACATGCCACAGAAAGGGTCTACAGGCTCTCGTTTTGTAGGTTATATTACCAGTGTGACCGCGGCTTTCAGGCTGGTTCAGACACTTGCGTTTGGTTGAGAGCCAGTGCGTTATGCAGCCTCGCGCTCTCGCGTAATTTCTTGCCACGAGGCAACAGATTGGCACCCTGGCGCCATGTATGACTGGGTTTCACTACAATGAAGGTTTGACAGTATATTTGCGAGGTCATATTTACGTATATACTATGAAAAATGTACATTTAAAATAGAAACCAACGTTGTTTTTGCTTTTATCACAGGGTGAATTATTGATACGAAAAAAGGAAACGCAAGGATATCGCTAGTTTTCAAGGGCCACATGACGTAGACCAATGTGCTCTCTCGTCGTAAGAGGTCACAACTCACTCGGTTATAACAAAATGCGAGCGCGTCAACCAGACTCAAGGTGGTGAGGTGAAAAAAAAAAACATTCCAATACAGTACTTATTTTGATAACAGTATGTCAGGTGTGTGAGAAAAAAAGAACTGGAAAATTCAGCAATCGCTTGCGCTAGCGGCGTCGCACTCTGCATTTACAGTGACAAGCTAGAGTGCTAATGTGCACATTATTGCACACTATATAGATATCTGAAGGCATATTCAGTGATCACTATAGTCTGCTCCAGGTTCAGAATAGCAGGACGATTAAGCTCCTCCGACAAAGCCCGCCACCCTTTCCACTTTAGCAGAGAAAACGCTGGAGACAGGGCAAGTGGAGAGGAGGTAACCTCCAATCAAGCGAATATAAAAATTGTTTTTTGAGGTTATTGAGCACTTATATTATGTTGGGCTTGATAGATCAGCAGGTAATTATTGTTGGTATCTGTTAACTGTTTTGCACATCCTATTTTCCTTTAATCTTTTTCCCCAATAAGACTTCAGTTGCGAGTACAGCTTCGTCCTCTCGTGTTCGTTCCTTCTCGACGCCTTCGTTTTTGAGCTGTTTTTCACCATGAATAACATATACCAAGTCACCCAAATCGCTACATTAGTGTGAGTAGAGACCTTTGTGGGAGAAGCTTCTCTTGATATTTTAAGTCTGCAGCCGGCTAAAGTTTTAACCAAACTAATTTCCGCAGACTATTTAAAAGCCCTAGCACATAAGGTTTTTTTTTTCTTATCTTTGATTTCTACGTTTTTCGTGCTTTCGTTTTTCTATCTTCATTTTTTTTTGCTTGCGCGCAACGTCAGTAATTTTTTTAAATCTTATTCTAATCGTTTCTTTCAGAAACAAATAATATTGCTTTTTGCGTCAGCACTTTGGCCCGAATAAACATTCATGAGAGAGTCAGAACTTTGCTCAGGAACAATATGATGCAGAATGTTCGTGTTATAAAATCCCGTAAAATTGCATTAATAGTAATAGCTGGCACTGGTAACTAATTACACCAGGAAAACACTATGAAATACCATGATTGTGAATTTGGGGACGTAAAGAGGAAAGTTTCTTAATGACTGACCATAGCTCGTCTTGCGGGGAATTGCACGCTGGCTACTTTGAACTTCACGATGGAAAACGTTAGAGAGCAATAAGATTTCACTCAGTTAATAAGATTCTTGAAACTGTCTGGTGTATATTTTTTTACGTTCCACGCAACCTTGAACATATTAGCTTTTTAAAGGCACACCTGAGGCAAAAGAAATTAAAAAGCAATCTAAGAATCCACCGCGCGTTTAAAACCAACAAACACTTTGAGCAAATGTAAGTTTAAATCCACCTGTGTATCTCAATATTTTAGTCGATCACACGTCATCATAACCTTAGTTGCCTCAACCACGACAAGTCACATGACGCCAAATTAAAAAAAACACATGATAATTAGTCATCTCAAAGTAACCGCAAGCAACCACTTAATGAGGCATTTAGAACCTAGAGCATACTTTAATAAAGCAGCGTTTCGAAGCAAGCTTCAAATTGTTTTGTTTTATGCTTAGTTTGGAATTCATTAACCGAATGAGAAATTGCCAGAATTTCCACCATGCGATGGACCAGAAGACGCACATTGAGAAATGAATGTAAAACTAATTGCCAACAAGAAAAGACTTGTCTCCAAAATATTAGGGAGGTGCCTGCCTATTACGAAAAACATAATATTGAAACCTTATGTGCTATGGCTCAGCTTTATTTTATTTAGAATGACGCAAAAGTAGGAAAGGTACATTGAATCAGTGAACCAGTTACATTTTATTAGTTGGGCAAGTAAAGGGAGATAAACACCGCATGTAGATTTTCGACATATTCCTAGATTTATTTTACCTCTGACGCAAGTGTCAACACACACACAGTCGTACAGGTCGTCAAACAATATCCTGCAAAAAAAAAAAAACTATACAAAAGAGTCATTTTAATTAAAGAATGCGGCATTTATACCATTAAAGGTTGACCGGATATTGTTATGAAGAAGACACGCTAGTTTATTTTCCCTCAGATTACAGGAACGTCAATCAGTGCCACTAACAAGAAGACGCTAGTAAGTTACGATTCATAAAATCGTTTTATTCAAAACGTCATACCAGTGCATATTAGTTTCATCGTATGACATTTACGTGACAATCAATCAATCAGTCAGTCGATAACTGATACATCTTTATTTAGGTGCGGATTTTTCTTACAGAAAAATATAACTTTCTACATTAGCCTATGCGGCATGGGGCTCTTCGTGTTCGTCAGATTTGTAGTTTCAAAATGCGCTATATTCTATCACAATATGTTGTCTAGTCACTATAAAAAAGAAATATCCTAGTTATAATTTACTTTTTCTCTTCATCCGGTTTGTCTAACTTAAATTTATATCCTATATTTCCTTCTTTTTGCAACCCACATTATATGATTTCAATATTGCACTAATATATTAAATATCTGAAAGTTCCAAGTCAAAATGGTATCTATACATATATATATATCTGCTTATAGTTTAGTGCATGGGAATAATGTACTCACGTGCTCCGAATGCTTCAAGCTTGTGGGCGTTATGATTACGAAAACAGATCACTCCGCGTACACTCAATTTCTACATTAAAAATAAAAACGCAAAGAGCGGAGTCTAAAGGTTCAGTGAAGGCACTCAAGACAAATTAAGAGCAAATTGCTGAGCAATACATGCTTTGCGCCTGACGTCAGTCCGCTAGGGGCGTTAGCGTCGACGCCAGCGGTTGCCATTTTGCATTTTGTGTCGTTGTGTCCGCTTGTGTGTTTGATCAACGTTGCTCCTCCACAGACCGTTTGCTGCGCATTTACTCGTCTCGGGCAGCGACGTTTCAGAATTTATTTTGAGTGTTTCCGCGCTTGTGGTTTCTGTGTACTTTTGTTCCCGTGTTGTTTCGTCGAAAACTAGGTATCACCAAGTAATAGAAAGCGCGATCAACTGTCTTGCGCGCAATGGTAAATTGCGTTGTGGTCAGGTGCAGCCATCGCACTAGAAATAAGCCCTCCGAAAGGAACTATAAAAGTGTTGGATTTTATGCAATCCCCAAGGTGAGACTGGGTGAATGCCAACAAACTGCCGCTATAACCGCTAAAAGAAGAGCGGCGTGGCTGCAAAGAATCAGGCGCGCGGACCTTTCTGCAAATGCGACGCACTATCGAGTATGCGGCGAACATTTCGTGACAGGTGAGTTGGAACTCGTTTTATTCATTATGGTGCTGTACGAACAGATATTGATTTAAAAGCACTCGATTTAAACCACGCGTAATGGTGGGCACACTTGACTGAAGTGCCCGATGGGCTGTTTCACGGTACTAGCAAAACTGAGTGTTCGAAGTGCGTATGACCGCGTCCGATCACACGAGAATCTTTTTTTTAAAATTTATTTTATGCGGTTTTTAACGTTTTTAGGAGATTGACAATTTTACATTTAAGCAAAGCCTGTTCACGTCTGTTCATGCAGTGCATTCAGGCGCTGTCGTTTTGCGCAAAAACTTTAAATGTTGGAAAACACTTTGAAGGTGCAGGCGAGCTGATGCAAGTTTATTATTTTGTTAAGACACCCGATACTGGGTGAAAAAGTCATGAGACAATCAAAGTAAAGGAGAAAGAGGGAAAGAACAAAATTAAAATGTTAAAACTGAAATTTTCAGGGCGCCCAACATACTTCATGGATGAGCTCAACCCAGACTGGGCACCGAGCCTCAAGCTCGGGTACAAGTCGTCAGTTGCAGACAAACCTGCTGCCTTCGACAGGTGAAAATTTTGGGAGTGTCTGTTACCTGGTTGAATGCTTAGAATGCTTTCATTACCAGTGGCGTCATTAGGGGGAGGGGGCAAACCACCCCGGATGCAGCACTCGGGGGGGGGGGGGGGTTGTGTTTGCAGGCCATTGCCCCGGGTGCTACTGACCCTAGTGACGCCACTGTCCATTACTGATAACTTTGCTTTTGCGTACTGGACATATTTAGGTACAAGCGTACACAAGCGCGAGCCAAAGGGCCTGGACGTAGCAAGGCGGCAGCAGCAAGTCAGCAACCAGACATCGCAGCGGCTACACCCGAGGTAGTCGGCGAGATGCAGCGTTCCCTGCTGCCAGAAGAACAATCACCCGAACACTCCGGTAAGTGTTACCTTGATCGGTCAGCGTGGCATTGGCTTTTCAAGTAAAAGTATTTTGTAATGAATGCAAATCTGTTATATTATGTTTCAGAGTTGCAAGACCAGGGACGTTGCGCAGGATCGCCCGAGAGTCCTAGTAATGATATTGTAGTGAGTGCGCAGGCGAGCTGGTGGAAATTAACCATTCTGATGTTAGCCTGAGACTGAGGCTACTTTGAAACTTCATCTTTTCCTGCCTCAGTCTCAGGCTAACATCAGAATGGTTAAAGTCCTAGTAAGTAGCGTCAGCATGCCAAGTAAGAGTTCCTTAGAACTCAATTTGTTTTTGTGTGTGTGTAATGTTTCAGAGTTGCAAGACCAGGAATGTGTTACGGAGCTTCAGATGAAGGACATCGCTAGACTAGAAGAGGAAAATCGCCGGCTCCTCTCGGATCTGTGCTCTGGTCGAGCCAGCCTTAGCAAGCAGAAGTTTGAAGAAGATGCATTTAGAAACAACGACGACTTAGTCAATTTTTACACAGGGCTTCCAAACTCCACAGTCCTTTTCGACATCTATGAACTGCTGCAACCTCACGTCAGCCGCAACGCCCACAATTGCCTGAGCGAATTTCAGGAAATGATTCTTCTTTTCATCAGGCTTCGGATGAACGTGCCCTTGCAGGACCTTGCCTACAGGTGAAGCTTCACAATTATAAACTTATCGGTTATGATACTTACAGTGTTGAATGCAGGTTTTTTCAGATCAGAGAGGGGGGGGGGGGGGGCAGAATATCAGATGATAGAGAAGACTCTCTTCCTTCTTTTCTACCCTAAAGTTTCGCACGGGTGGAGGGTTATCACACGCTTCGCTCAGGTTGGCTGATGGGAGCCGTAATGCTTGCCCTTTAGCAAGTTATGTTGCGAAGTTATCAACACAGCCATGTAGCTAGTCATTTGTTGGTTTGACTTTCAGTACATTAAAACAGTCTAAACATATTGCTCAACTTAAACATTTCTAAAACTCAAGATCGAGGCTCAAAGAGGGGACAAACACAAGACATCTAAATTTGAGATGACTTGAATCTGTCCCCTCTTGTTCGTTTTCGGTTTTAGAAATGTTAAACTTTAACCATTTTGCCTGCCTTGTTACATTATCTTCAATCGTAATGCTAAACTATATTTCTTAATTTTTTTTAGGTTTGGAGTTTCACAGTCCACAGTTTCTCGGATTGTGGAGAAGTGGCTGGACGTGGCCTACACACGACTCTCAGACTGCATCAAATGGCCAGAGCGGGAGCACTTGAAAAAGACATGCCAATGACTTTTCGAAAGGAATTTGGCAGCAGGGTAGCGGTGATCCTAGATTGCTTCGAGATATTTATTGAAAGACCATCGTCACTTGCGGCACGAGCGCTCACGTGGTCTACCTACAAGCACCACAACACCGCGAAATATCTGATCGGTATTGCTCCTCAGGATGTGATCACTTTCATATCGAAAGGTTGGGGTGGACGGGCTAGTGACAAGCTGATCACAGAGTCTTGTGGAGTGCTAGATAATCTGTTGCCCGGCGATTCTGTTCTGGCCGACAGAGGTTTTAGGATTGCTGAAGCTGTTGGAGTTCACTGTGCACGGCTGGAGATTCCGGCTTTCACAAGGGGACGAGCGCAGCTGCCTCCAGCTGTTGTCGAATCAACAAGAAAATTGGCGAATGTCCGCATTCACGTTGAACGCGTGATAGGACTTGTCCGAAACAAGTACACCAACCTAAAAAGTACAATTCCAGTCGACTCGTTTGTGGCTAGGGGTATCGGGAATGCCACTACTCTCGACAACATAGTGGACGTTTGTTCTGCCTTTGACAATCTCTGCGAGTCTGTTGTTCCGTTCTACTAGGAAAATAAGGCTAAACTGCAAAGGCTACCCTTAATGACCACTGTGATACTACTTTGAGAGACAGCCACTTGCAAGACAAATATGTGTACAAACAATTGCTGCTATTTTTGTAAAGGATGAATGATTGTGCAAGTCATTCATATGCAAGAGTTTAGTGCAAGAGATGAATAAATGTTTTCATTCAAACAGAAAAAGGTGTTACATTTTTTACACAGCCACAAAAGTACACACAGCTAACCACACACTTGTTTCTTAGTAATGCTACACTTTTACAGGAGACTCTCACTAGGCTGTTGGAATTCACACACAAAAAAATAAAGGATCCCAGTGTTGATTCAGATCCCTAGAAAAGTTAGTGTTGCGACGACGAGGCACAATTCTTGCAGAACCACTTTCGTGCTTTGGGGGCACGTTTGATTTTAACACAACTAAAGCGGAACCACTTCCCAATGCAGCTTTCGCCGTGGCACTGGATCATGTCGCCATACTCTGGCCCCCCACAGTAGCAAAATGAATCTTGCTCATCGGAGTCTCCACTCATGGGGTCATCCACTGCTGCAGCTTGTTCGCCCTCTTTGTTGGTCCAGTACTCAAAGCAGAGTTCTGGGGGTAGAACAGTGCTAAAGTATTCCTTGCATCTGGAAAGCATTGTATCGCAGAAGTCTTCGCTGAAGCAGATCCGCTCTATAAATGTGTCCTTCAGGGTCCAGACAACGAAGTCACAATACATTCTCTTGCTGACTAGCATCTGCATTTGCACTTGATAATAGTAGCAGTGCTCCCGCTTTAACTGCAGCTCTCCGTCGATAGATGTGAGGCACCCATCACGTGTTGCTGCAATTTGTGCTAGAAAAAGTTCCCGTGTTTTATAAGGGCACTTAACCTCGAGGAGCCCCGGCCCACAACAGAAGCAACTAACAAGGCCGCCGGGGGTGGCTGCCAGGAACGGGTGCTCAGTTGAGACGTGTACTCCAGATGGATCACACTTCAAGTGCATGTGTCGCTCTCGAGAAAGGCTCCTGTAAGAAGCCTTTGCATCAGGCTCGTGGTCTTTGCCCCACTGAGTCTGGACGCTCCAGAATGTGCATTCTGTCGGATAACAGATGCGTCGCAGGAGGCTCATGGAGAGGTCGGTTAAGGATGTCACGCACACCGCTCTGGCATTTGAAGCTGTGATCCGTCCTGCACGAAACTGGAACCATTTTGCGCTTGCAGCTTGTGTCTTCGTCTGATTTTCAATCAATCCAGACACCTGCAACGACATGTCATTATCATAGTATCACACTTTATTCTTTCAACATAAGACCCCACATTGTGGGGAGTTTATATAGTATAATCTAGACCAACACGCTGTTTACAAACAAGCTCGCCTTTGCCCACACCAGGTGTGGGCACTGTGCGTGCGCAGAAACTGAATTTGGAAGGAGTGAAGCGTCTGCGCATGCGCTGTGCCATCGACAGCGCCACCGCAGCTGCATGATGTCAAGGCCGCGTGTTGGTTTATAAGTATCCCTTATAGACGTCACATCTTGGATCCTAATCTGCACGGCAGGACCAAGGAACTAGAAAATCGCCGTTCTGAAACAATCTGGAAGTACCTCTGGATCAATGGTAAGCCGACTTGCAGCGACGTCACAGTGACCTTGCACCTCGTCCTATGTGGATGGGCAGGCGTCCTGGAGGAGGCTGCTCAGGATGGCCTGAGGGAACTTTGTGACCACGGGAATGTAGTTTTCAGCGTAGGGCTCCACCAAGGAGAGAAGCGCAGGGCGTGATCCCCCTTGGTGGCATGCCGCAAGGAAGGACCTGAATTCATTGGGCGATGTAGTTGCGACTGTTGCTTGTTTAGCCGGTTGTGGTGGCTCTGTGCCCTGACCAAGACGGCGCATCTTGGTCCTGGACGAGGCGAAATCGATCTTGGCCACTGGCTGGCCCTCCAGCGTCTGCAGCTGCGGTGGCAGCCATGCATTTTCCCTGTCCGTGCACGTCAGCTCCTCCCTCCTCTTGATTACAGCCTCAAGGTAGAAGAGGACGGACCCTATGTGGCAGCAGGCCTCCCCAAGGCCCGCACATGCACGTACAATGTGCCAGGAGCACTTCTCCATCTGGCTTGGCAAGAAGCCATGGTTGGAGGAGCTTCTCTCTAAATGACTGGGAGTGCCGTACCTGCAAAAGATAATTATTACTCGTCAACAGTCACTTCATTAAGTTCAGTTGTACAGAACAAGCTTGCAGTGTGACAACGGGTAGAAGAATGCTAGTTTTAGAAAGGCACTGCTGATGGTCCCCTGAATTTACGGTCTGCTGCCCTTTTCTGGGAGGAGTAACTCTGTTGTATCTATGTTTAGATAGCCGAAAGTCAGTCTGCCTCAGTGAGCATCTGGTGTTTATCTGTATATGGTAAATTTAGTCGCTGCATTACCACTGCCAGCCTGGGCTCCTTAACGCGCACCAAAGAACTAGTGATACACGACCGCCTGCCCGTACGACGCTCACCAAGATAGAAGTGGGCAGGGTGTAGATTGAACCCAGGATCCCTGGGATCTGCAGAGCGAGCTTTCGCCCTACGCGCTTCGAGCTAGGGTGCGTCAACACTCGGCGCCCGATTCCTCACCAAGTACGAACTTTTTTTTTTTTTTTGTCAATCACGATAAGTTTTGTTATATTAGTTATGACTTTCTGATTTCAGAGTTCCAGAGCATTCAACAGCGCATGTGCGTGTATGGCACGACCGCCAGCAAGCGGGTATCGCTTTGAAACCTTTTCGCAGCCGTTAGTGCGTGCGTGAACGCAAGGATGTTTCGACACTAGTCAGTCCGGAACTCCAAATTAGTGAAGTGGTGGATTAAATCCGCGTGTGAGACAAGTGTTTTTTTCGCTTACCTAGCCAACGATGACAACGTTGCGGTCGCCCAGCACTTTTGATCGCGGTTGCTGCACCCAGCCACTCGTGAGGAAGTTGTGGGCCTCCATCGATTTGATGTCTTTAAACTGCTCACGTGTTGCGAAACTCGTGCCATTTACCAAACAGTCTCTCACGTCAGCAAAATCTACTCTGGGCCACAGATAAGTGTCGCTGGACAGTTCGTCGTCCGCCAACACCAGCGGGTCAACATCCTCGCAGCGTCCGACTTTCTCGGCGTAACGAAGAGCCTCCGGTCCGCGCAGGGACTGCGCGTACGCGCTCATGCGCATGGTGCTAGGTGTCTACACTAGCCACACGAAACAAAGGCCTAATCGCACTCGGAGAAAATAAACTTGCGGAACTGGCGTAGACGTCCGCGAGCAACCGGCGTGCACTGGCGTGGCTCGTGTATCGGAAAGAAAGCGGCTGCTAGAGTAACCGGCAAAATGGCGAACAGGACAAGGTTGCCAGGCCACCTAGCGTTTGATGCATATTATGTATTTTACTGCAACTAAATCGTTTGGCGCCTGCGTTCTTGCACTCTTCACACATTAGTTTAGCGACTGACTTAACGCGTGGCATGTACGTTCGAAAGAGATTCTCGGAACGGAGATACCGGCGCTAACTATGGTTTTAAACAACCTGCGACAGGGTACCAAGTTGCTATCTTTTGGACGTAAAGAAGGGTTTTCCCGCCAAAATAGCACCTCAACTGACATTAATGTGTCATGACACGATGAAGAAAAAAAGAAAGGTGTGTTTTGACCTGTTGGAAGGAAACTCGCTAAATAATCGAAATTGTCCGGGTTCGATTCCTGCCTGGCGCAAACGCTTTTTTACTGGAATGGCCCCTAGCAAACTCCCCCATCCCCTTCAAGAAAATGGCGGTCTTCGGTGTAGGGGGCGTGATGTCATCACGTGGCTCAGCCAATGGGCATCGAGTTAATCGGCGGCTTCATTTTTGGGCTTCACAAATTTCTAGACCCTCCTTGACGAGACAAAGCACGCTTCACGTGAAAACTGTACCCTAAACTAACGTGATTCGTTAGATCCAGATTTGTACCGTACGCATTACAAGTGTAATCGACTACTTTTTGGAGTAATTTTGTAATCAGTTGATTACTTTTATTAGGCAGTAATCACAAGAGTAATCCAATTACTTTTGAAGTAATAAAATTACTTGTAACCGTTACAATTTGTCCACGGCCCCTCCCCCCCCGGCACACGCCTTTTTTTTATGCAATGACAAAACTAAAATTTGCTTCTTTTTTTTTCCAACGGAAAAAAGAAGGATTTTTGCGGAGCTGTAGGAAACGAGGTCAATCTCTTTCTATGTACAGTTTCTGTGGAATGTCAGTGTTTTTTTTTTTGTGTGTGTTTTTTTTTTCGAGCTGGGACTGGGAGTGGGAAGCCCCAGGAAAGCCACAGTGCGTGACAAAGGCCATTCAGGGCAAAGTTTGAGGAAGCAGAATGTAGCTTTGTGAGTCCTTCGTTCAAACTAGCCCCCTCACGCACACACACACAGAAATAAAAAAAATAAAAAAAATATCCTGCTTAGGGTACCTACTCGCAGCCCGTAGGAGGACCAGAACCGAAGAATTCCTAAAGCGGATGCAAAATATAACAAAGGCAGTTGACATATTTCCCCATTTCCCCTACGTGGTCTTTGTGACAAGCAATGTTTCGAGTTAAGAAGTGGGCGGGGCGATCTCTTCCGCTAATGGATATTACACATGATCCGTTTCAAATCCTGGAGCTGCTGCTCTTTTGGATAACATGCGAGCTCATGCACATGTGAATAATAAAATGAGCGACGCAAACTTTGAGCGACAACCCTTGCTCAAGCTTAACAAGATCTAGAACCCCCTCCGCTCCTCCCCCCCCCCCCCACCCCCCCACACACACACACTGGCGAACGCCAAAATCATTAAACGTCTTCAAACAAAGTCTGTGCTTGTGTCCGCATTGTGAAGGTGCAACGACCACGAAGAGGGAGCTAGTTTTTCTTCTTCAATACTTGTGCAAATGTGAAATATAGGTTGGAAGTAGTTCATTGTTATGAGCGCTAAAGATGTGTCTTCACACAATAAAGTAATCGGAAAAGTAACGATTACTTTTTTAAGTAATGTCCAATTACTTTTGCCGTCGACTCATCAGGTAATCTAATCGAATACTTTTTAGCGAAAAGTGATAGTAATTGTAATCGATTACTTTTTTAGTAACGTGTACAAGACTGGTTAGATCCAAAGTTTTACGGGTGGACCCCAACCGTGTCAAGAAGTCCGCTTGTCTTGGAAATGGTTGTTCAGCATCAGGTAAAAACCATAAAAGATAAAGCCTATGAAGTAATTCCACTCAAATTTTGAGCCGCGTGACAAAGTGCCTGTCGAGAACGAAAAACGATTTGGCTCGAAATGAATGATGCCAAAACGCATAGCAGAGACGAACACGAACTGCTCCCGGAGTGAAGCGACTGCGTGCCTCCTTTTTTATTTGTTTCGTCGGCTGAACTCCCCGCTGAAAAGGAAATGAAGATATGACGACGGCAATGGAGAGCGGAAGATGGGGCATAATTTCGAGGTAGAAAGAAGAAGAAGAAAAAAAAAAAAAGAGAGTAGAGCCTGCTCAAACAAAATGAGAAAGAGGATACAAGAAGTATGCTGAGAAACTAAAACAAAAAAAAAAGTGGCACGGGTCTTTCTTCTGGAATCCAACCCTCTTTCAAAGGAGCAGCCGTGCGCCTCACAATGGTGGAGAGCAGTACGGGAGATCCGCAATTGTTCTCTGCTTGCTTGGTGGCACCTAAGCAGGCATCGGTGCTCGGTTCTGTAGTGGGCTCTCTTCAATGTCTTTCTTTTTGTTCCGTAATATTTTTTTTATTGACAGCGAGTTCTTTCTTTTTTGAAACCATATGGTATTGATGGTGCTCTAAATGACTTGAATCGGCATGGATTCAAATAACAGGCAGATGTTCTATAATCTATGGCAATTTTAAGGACAAGCTGGTGTCTTTTGGCCAGAACAGTAATAATTTGAATTTTTGAAAGGCAGAGGGGGGGGGGGGGGGGTCGCACTCGCGCTTTAGGGTGACTAAGATCATCTAGCAGTCTCCAGCAGTTTGAGGGTTAATATATAAGAGGTGTGTTTTTTTGTAAAAAGCAATCGAAATTTTATTTAAATACGGCAGGGGAGATTTTTGGACTATAATTACCGACAACTTAAGTTTCGGAGGGCGTCGCCCATTGTCCACACGCTTCTTGGTCAGTGTTGCCAATTTGGCGTTTTTTTTAGTTGTCCAGAGGTAGAAATATTGTCGTTCTGCGGATGGCGGGATTTCTTGCGGTTTTCAAGTCATGGTA